GCTTGCTTTCTCTCCATGATGTGGGCAGACTGTCCAGAGTATCACAGCAGCCCCAATTCCCTCCGGTTGCAGTGACCCCATGGGTCCCTAGCTGCAGACAATCAGGGGACCCTCTTTCCTACACTGGGCTGTGGCCACTGCAGCCTGGCTGAGGGACTGGGAAATCCTACAGTCCTGAACTTTAGTGTAGCTACCTGTACTCCTTCTCTTGGGATCTGAGCATAGTCTTGTTGGGCCATTGACTTCACCAAGAACTCTGTGCTTTGAGTAATTATAGAATTGGGTCCAGAATCTGGAACTAGACATCTCAAAATGGAGATTTATAACTACATTCACCAGCTATTCCCCAAAATATGTGGCATTACCAGAGGACGTCACAAATGATGTGTGAAATGAGACACCTTTGCAGATTGGCAGTGCACAAAAAGGATGAAGAAAACGACATGTAATTATTACATGTGCTATTAGCTGTGATATTCAACTTACACAAAGACAGAAAAGTCCAGTAAATCCAAAAACTTTAGATTTGCTTTAAAAAGAATAAACTGCTTGGAAATTTCTAATAAATTTCACCAGAACATTCTTCTGGAAGAGAGAAGGGTCCAAAGGAAGAAAGGGAGACATTTTAAATTAGTTGACTCATTTTAAAGTTTACTCCCTTCTTTTTCTTTACTTGGAAAAGTGAAAACACCTTTCAGGCACATTAACATTAAATACTGAGGGGTGAGAAGGAGGAAAGCTATGACAATACTAAATTTTTGGAGGATTCTGGATGTACCTCTGTCTGTCACCATAATAGATACAGTGTTGCTGCTTTTACAGAAAGAAATGAAAGCGAGGTATGTCTGCCAAAAGGTGGATTGAGAATTAGTTAAGAATATTTATTTAATTTTATTAATTTCAGTTTTGTTGCAAATTATAAAGCATAATCTGAGACACAAACTGTTGGCAAAACATCTTCAATACAACTGAGAAAAGTGCATGCACCAGTGTCTGGCATCAGTCCTGTAAGCTTCTCAGAGGTGGTTTCAATAAATTCAGAAAGCCCTTAAACATTCTGAGATAGATATGTCAGGCGAGTCAGAATCCTTCCAGTTCTGAAAGATGAACAGTATTATTTATATATGAAATGTTTTGAAATGAAGTTGCACGTGCAGAGAAAATTGAAGAATATTAATCCTGAGTGTTTTGTCTGATGTGGGGCAAACACATTTTTTTGACCTGCCCATTGGATGCTTTTCTTCTTTTTGTTTGATCGATAAATGCATAATAAAAGTTTGTAAATGCTGAAAGATAATTTTATTAAGAAAATAAAAGGCCTGCTATGTAGCATCAATGTACACAATTTCAATCAAGAGCTGGCTAGCAGATCATCAAAAGATACATTAAAAAGAAAATTAATATTTAATTGTTTCTAATAGTATCCAGCAGGCACCTTTACTAGGCCCAGTGCTATTCAGTATTCCCAGCAGTGACCCAGAGGTGTGAGTACAAATTACCATGCTAAGGATCTGAGGATGACAGAAAGATTCCTCGGTGAGTACATTGTTATGGAACCAAGCAAGAGGAGATCTTTTTATCAGCTAGATCCATTGCAAGAAATTAGCATCTTAGGAGACATGAATGTGTAGTTAAACATAATACAAATGTATTTCACCCCTCCCCCCCCCCCAAATGGGGTACAGTGACATGGAGTGCCTTGACTCTACAAGGATTTAGGGGCCATAGTGGATCAGCAACCCAACATGAGCTCCCACCATGAAGCTGTGTGAACAGAGTGTAATCCTTGGATCCTGATGCAATTGTTGGAATAATTCCCACATATCTGTTGTCCATATTTTAATGATAATGGTGGGAAAAAAATTGAGACTTCACAAAATTTCATTTAAAATTAATTTGAGAGCAGAAGAAAATTATTTGCTGTGAAAGCATAAACTCAGTGTCTTTGATTATCAAAAAGGAGGGCTGAGAATGACTTGTTAAAGTTTATAGATCATGGGAAAAAGGCCTCACATGCAGATTCTTTATCCTGAATTGGAATGTAACAACCAGACAACCACTTCCACCATTGCCCCAAATAAATTAATAAATAAATAAATACATACATGCATACATACATACATACATACATAAACAACACTGAAAAAATCAGAAAAAAATAGTTTTTTACTAATGAAAATAAGTATGAAATATATTGCCCAAAAATGAGGAATCATACCTATTGGCATATCTTCAAATCATGATACAAGTTAAAATTTCATCATAAATTACCTATTCCTTAGTAAAATAATAATTTTATTTGACTTGATACCAAATGAATAAAATGGATAAAATTTAAATGTCTTAAACATGCCCACAAACTAGCTGAGTTTGGATTTCAGAAATCCAAAACAGAAGAGAAGTAGAAAGAAATAAAATAGAAATAAATTAGGATGACCTATTCAAAATTACATTGTCTGAAGATCTGTGACCTGACTTGAGACTTTTGTTATAATTCTGAGTGAGGATCTCTGACTCTAAACCATATGCTCTACTGTGGTATGTATTGCACAACTATGGAAAATGTCTTAATGTAGGTATTTTTCATTCACATAAAATTGTCTGTAAGAATTTATATCCCAGCTGGTATGATGTTATACAGAAACAATATCATGTGTTGTTCTGTAAGTTGTGCATATGTTTAGTTTCTGAGGCCAAAAATCAGGATGTGGTTTGAAAAAAAGTGGGAGGAGTCAACTAGTAAAAGTGTTATACCATATGACAACCTCAAAAAAAAAAAAAAAAAGAGCATATCAGTTGGGAAAATATATAGCAGAAGCAGAGACTGCCTTTACTGCAATAACCAGTGATCTGCTGTGCACATGTGCACATTCTCATACCACTGGAGTTTTAAAAGTATAGCATTGCAACCTGTTGTTTGCATAGTTGGAACATCTGTAACAATACAGCAAAAATCACTTTGTTGGGGTGCAGTCTGCTACTTTTTGTCAGCATTAATAATTCTGAATTTCAGTATATTAGATAGATACCAAATTATTAAGGACTGCCTTTACTGCAATAACCAGTGATCTGCTGTGCACATGTGCACATTCTCATACCACTGGAGTTTTAAAAGTATAGCATTGCAACCTGTTGTTTGCATAGTTGGAACATCTGTAACAATACAGCAAAAATCACTTTGTTGGGTGCAGTCTGCTACTTTTTGCCAGCATTAATAATTCTGAATTTCAGTGTATTAGATAGATACCAAATTATTAAGACATTTTATTCATTAGATATTAGATATTTTTTACTGTTATTGGTTTTGTTATTGTTATTATTATTTATCATATGGCTTTTATGTCTAAGACAGGAGACAGGGTGGTCATGTCCCACTGTAGAGAAGTGCACTTGCAGGCTTGCTGCTGATCTAGTGAGGCTTCTGAGTAATTTCCTGCTAGAGGGTAATGGTCTGCAAGTCAACTTAGTGGTTTTTAAGGGTATCAGAATGATAGCACTCATGATTTGGAAAGTGCCCAACCTGTAAATGATTTAGCATGCCTCGTCCTCAGGTGAGTCACACATCTCCTTAAGCGCAAAAGTGTTTTACTGACAGACCAAATATAACCAATTGGAAACATGTTTTTGATCCTTAAATTAACATACTAGGTCTTCTTGTGTATTTAACTTGGGTTAGAGGTTCACAGTGCAGTGAGAGGAAGAAGCTACCATCTCAGTAGCCCACATAACACATTTATTAAAAAAAAATAAAAATATCTCCAAAAGCAGTTTATATACACATCTACTCTTGATAGATAAACCTGTTGAAATAGTAGGAAAAATAGGCTTTTTGAGGAAATCACAGGATTTGTAGCTCCCTGTCTGTTTTCTCTATTCATTTCTTGAAGTGTGTCGAAATATTCAGGTTCCATATGGCCATATATAGTCACCTAAATTTCTCTATTAGGTTCAACCAGGTTTTTATTAATTATTTTTAATTCTATGTTTTTTGACTATATGATTAATGAAAGTAAATAATCACCAGATGGAATGAAATTCTACTTCTTGAACTTATGCAAGTAATGCAGTTAAAGCAACTTGAAATAACGACATGCACAAATTAGTCATTTTCACAATTAAAACATAAGCCCTAAAGATGCTCCTATTTATTTAAATCACTCTGTATTTAATTAAAGACAGATTACAAATTGTTATCAAAGGTTAATCTCTTTTTGAGTCTTTCATTCACCAACAATTATAACACATCCATTTTTATCATCCAGTAATTATGGTTTCTTCTATTATAGTAGAACATGGTACATTTAGTGGCACCTTGTGAGCATGTCAGTGATAAATAACAAGCATTTCATACACCTGTGCTTCAGCTCTTAGCTGGCACTTACCACTGGCAAAATTGCAGGTAACAGACACTGTTGTCCCTTCACTGATAACCTAAACAGAAAAATGTTGCATTCTTACTTTTGATACTATGATAAAACATCCTAATTCTGTGTCTGCTTTGTTAATTGCCTTTCCTACCATAAATGCTGAAAGTTTCAGACAGGAGTCAAACTATGGAGCTTCTTATATCTCTAGCCTTATAAACTTGGGCCCTTGCTCCAGGCCAGAACACATTTTAAGACTGACTGCTAGAGCACGGAGCTACACTCAGGGTCAAGGTATAGGATATGCCAGAAGACAAATCTGCACAGTCCCATTGCAAGCTCTGTGGTGACAACAGCCACACGAGAGCAGAGCTAAAGGCTGGCAGCATGGGGCAGGGGTCAGGAGACACCACCCTAGGCACACTCCTTGCCTGTTGTCAGAATAAACATGATTAGTACTGCCAGAATAAACTGTGGAGATGCCATTGGCTTGATGTATTTTATATTTACATAGGTTTTCTACAGAGTCCACTAATTTCCTGTTAATTTCCTTTTCTGTATCATAAAATATGTACAGCCATACAACAACAGTTCTGTTTCTGTCACCAAAATACTGTACAGGAGATTCACAAGTCCTTTTTTTTTTTTTTTAATCTTGTTCTGTCAAGAAATAGTAATGAAATCAGCCTGCTTATCTAATGGGAAAGCCATGGCATTTAAGATGTTAGCCAGACAAAATGTTGCTGAAAGTTTAGTAGCTGGAATACTAAGATATGGGCCATACTAATTTCAAGTTTTTGTGAGGATGACAGAATTCTGATGGTGAAAGGATCTCCTAAAGAAGCCTCTTTTATTCCCAGAAAACCTCATTTCTATCAGGCTCCAGAGACCTGCATGTTCCAGAGAGGATACCAAAAATCAGTCTGTTAACTAAAAAGCGAAACAAATAACCACCCTACTTAACATTGTCTACACTGCCCTAGAGACCCATCTCCTCCAGGATGTGTAGTCTCAACTTTTATTTTAAAAACAGGAGGTCCAACAGGCAATTTTAAATACCCTATGAAACACTTCTTTCTTCCATTGTGAAACTTCTAGAGACTGTACAACACTGCAAAAAGGGCATTATCATCTTCTATTTGCAGACAGGGCAACTAAGATTAAATGCCCAAGACACTTCTGAAGTAGCAGCAAACAGGCCCTGGATTTTTCTTTCAAGCTACCCTAACACTCTGCCAAACAAATCTTTTTTTCCCCCGCCTGAAGATTTTCTTCACTGTGAAATGCCCTTTTTTTGTTTCCTATTATTTTTTAAGAAAATTAGACAATTAGACAATTTCTCCAGGTTTTTGTTGTATGTTATCTTTATTATTTCAGAGATCCTCTCACAGTTTGGAAAAATAATAACTTTCCAGGCTGCATTTATTAATTTCTGTTGGATAACCTTGATGTCTTAGTGCTTCCTTTGTGCATGGAAAAAAAGGTCATTACTTGTGCTTCCACTTAACATCGACATTCCCACACTTAGTACAGAAACTCTTGCTGATATGTCTGGAAATTGTACTAATCGTCACTAAATTCAAGGATTTGATTCAGAAAAACCTGTCTTAAACAGGAAAGGGAAGAAGAAAGGCAGGGCAACGTTAAAACATGTAGTTAAACAGTTACCTAAATTTGTAACCAAACATATATATAAATACTGAGGTGGAAGGCTGATAAAACAGTAAAATTCATTGCATGAATCAATAATTTTCCTTTAAAAATAGTATAAAGTCCTAATCAATTAAAAGATATCCTTCAGTTTAAAACAAAACTTAAGAAGGGTCAAACATTTGTCCTGCAAGCTCAATTTAAGTAGTCATTCATGCAAGCAATGACAGAAACATCCCATCTTTCTTGTTAGTGTGGTAGGACAAAAATCATATAATGCAATGTATTCAGACTTAAGCAAATTTAAAACAATAAGATTTTTCTGCCCCAGACTATGTCCCATTTCTTTTAGAGCTTTGGAAAACCTTAATGGTTCATAGCAGAGGGCAACAAAGAGTGACCTCTGAACAGCCAGTTCTGGAATTTTGACATGTAAATAATTTTTTCTCTTCGAACTTGAAAATGAAGGCTACAGTTTGCTCTGCCACCACTCATGGGGCTTTGTCTGATGACACAGATGCAGAAGCTTTGAGAAGAATGGAAATGTTAGTTGCCAGAAGCAAAACCGTGAGCAAATCCTGGTAAGTGAGATCTCTCATCCTGCTGCAGGTCACCATCTCCTTTCTGTCCCTTGCCCAGTGGTGGGGGCTGTTCCAGGGCTGCTGTTCCGTGCTGAGCTGGATCTCAAGCTGGCATTGTGACTTGCAAGCATTGTTCACATGATTACAGGCAAGAGAGGCTTTAAAGTACACAGCCTGTTAAATTCCAGTAAATGGGCTACTGCATATTTTAGAAGGAGCTCCTTACCACGTGGTTCACAATTAGTGTGTCCATTTCAGCACTAAAAAGATACCTAGGAAAAGAAAATGTGTGTATAAGTACAAAAAAGTATCAGAATAGAGCACTTAGACTGAATAATTAATACCATTTCATGTTTTGCAACCATATATTTTAGTCATCAAAGATGACTAAGGCTACAAATTCATGTTTATTGACAAGGATACATTTCTTAAGTCACCATTTAAAATGGATTTTTATGGCTGGTCTTAATAACCAAGAGGCAAAACTATGTTGCACTACATGAACATACTTCAGGTACAAGTTAAATGGCCAAAATGATTCTCTGACTCACTAGGCAAAAAGGCAGTAGAACAGCTATTGAGTCAAAACAAAGAAAGAATTGTCCTATTCTCCCTGTATCTATCATTTTAAATATGAGTAAAATCACCAGTTAGTCTAAAAAAAACAAAGTTAACAAATTTACCAGGCTTGCAACGCACTACAAGTTTGCATTATGAGTTTACATAACTAATTATCATCATAGGTCTGCTTCATAATGCTGATTTCAGCAAAAGTACTACCAGGAAACATGTTTTATACCAAAACATAACATTTTCTCACCTCATTTTTACCAGTGAGTACACTTCCTTCTGCTTTACATAGTTCTACTTCCCCTTACATTTCTTCATGTTCTTACATAATTATCAGACAACTAAAAAATAGTTTAATCCAAATAATCCAGTTTCCTTTTAAGAACTTTTCCAGTAGTCTCCTAAATAGTTTAAGCAGAAATATAGTCAAAAGCGTTTTGCTGTCCTGAGGCACGTAATAGTTACACATGAAAAATAGCTTCCTATAGCTTCCTATTCTACCTCAGTTGCACCATGAGGTTTATGTAACATTTAAAAAAGAAAAAGTTGCTTCATGAATCCGCAGTATCTTGTGTTCCTGCATTGGCATGGGTTTATACTTTGTATAAGTACAGCTTGGCTGTGCTTTCTAACATAACAGTGCCAGCTACTAAAGGAAGCAGTTTCAGTCTGTTCTAGCTCAATGTCACAGCCCAGATGGAGGCTACTGCTCCTTCAGAGCTGCCAGTGAAGCTGCTTGTGGGGCCACTCCTTGCTCAACTCAGCCAGGGTGTACCCAACAAATTTAAATATGTGACTCATCAAAAAGAGTGGGGATTGCTCTGGGACTGTAAATTCTGGTACCAAATAAAGTGATCAGAAGATTCAGGCGAGATGAAAATTGTAGTTGTAGATAACAAAGATACAGTTAGAAGAAGACATTATCTACAACCAAGTTAAACCTAGTTATATTTTACTGTCATAGAACTTTTTCACCAATACATGATTTTGTATTTGAAAAGTGGCTAATATCACTAAGGTAATTCCCAGCTACTAGTAGGAACTTTACACGGTGACTTAATACAGTATAAAGTGACTTAAGATCCAAATATGCCTCAGGATGATTTCAACAGTGACTATTTGAAAAGAATACCCCAAAGAAATCCACTAAAAAGTCCATTCTTTAAACATTCCCCAAAGAATTTCTGTCAGCAAAACATGGAAAATGTTAAGCAATAATAACTAAACTTCTGTAAAACAAAAAAGAAACTCCTATTCTATGGTTTTCTTACCTGAGCTGGGTAGACTGCAATTCACAATTGAAAGATTTATTCAGAACTGAACATGTAAAACTCTTAAAAACAGTGTTAAAATACCTTACAGGCCTCAAGTCTCTCCTTCTTTTGTTTTCATCACTCACTGGAAAAGTACTCCATATTTTTCAGTTTATTCCCTAATGTACTGATCAGGAAGAAATAAGTCTACAGTGAATCTCTTTTCTTTTTTTCTTTTTTTTTTTTTTTTTTTTTTTTCTTCTTTTTGTGGTTTGTTGGTTGGTTGGGTTTGGTTTTCTTTTGTGGGGAGTTTTTGTTATTGGTTGGAGTTTTTGGTTTGGTTTGGATTTTTGTTTGTTTGTTTTCCCTTAAGTTGTGCTGCATATTGCTGCCTATTTGGACCAGGCAGGCTTTTATTTAGTACTCTCTATACCTTATTCACATCTGTCAACAAAAAAAGCACATCGCAGTCACACACCAAGGCACAAGTCACAAAACTCACAGAAAAAGTAAAAGAAATGATATTTATATGTCATTTTGATAGTCAAGGGAGAAGAAGTGTCCCAGTCCCTCTTTCTAAAAATAATGCTTCATACAGGTGTCATCTCTGTATTTTACTGGAGTTATCAAAAGAAAAAAAGTTGTCATTTATGGAAGTTGCTTCCTGCTCTTGAAATAAAATGACGTGCTTTAAATCACAGTTCAGTTCTTCCATAACTTTCTTCCAAGAAAATCACGCTTACATGTAGGGAAATGGGAAAAAACAGTTTTATTAACCCCCTGTCAACCTCTCTCTTCTACCCAAATAGCACACAGAAACTTTTTTCTGGTCATCTACTCCTATCAAAAACTGATTTAAAGCATTTGCTATGTCTTAAAAAAACCCAAACATACAAATAAAAAGAGGAAAAAATAAAAAAAGCTAGTTCTCCTGCCACCCATAGCAATGATGAGGTGTTAAAAAAAACCATATTGTCTTGTCAGGCATATCTAATAGAGATGAAGAAGTCTCTAATTAGGGCATTAATTCCACACTGCGGTGCAGTTGCAATGCAAACTTCCATTTACTGACAGGTGCAATATGTGGGTGCAAATTTCTTGGCATCAGCAATCTACTCTTTTGCATTTACATTGCTAAGCAACATCATTGCATTGATTGACTTATGTACAGTACTACACTTTCACCTCTTAGGTACAGAAAAGAAAGATTGATTCCAATTTCGGTGCCACAGTTTTAAACAGATGCAGCACCAATGAATTAGGTGCACTTACTCCTAATTTACAGTCATGGAAGAAAAATAATTTTCTTGATTACCGTACTATTTAGAAAGCTCTAACTCTTTTGGATAGAATAAAGTTACACTGGTCTGAAACTCACATGACACTCAGGGACACAGTTACATGTATTTTTCCACGAGAAGATGGCAGCTGTCCTCAAAGTGTAATGCGAGTTAACTAGGAAAAGGTGATTGACTGATGCTGAGGTTAATTGCTTGTTGGCATGCTAGAAAGCCTATGCTAACAAGTGCTGCTTATAACTAACAAGTGCCAATTATTTCCTTATATTCCAGTACACATTATATTATGCTAGGTGCTATACAAACATCCAGAAAGATCCAGACATCCCTACCCAGATCTGATAAGTTAATGATTTAAGAAAACCATGCAAGTTACTGATGAAAATGGGTCAGGGCATGTGGCTTATCACAAATGTACGGCTCTTCATACAATGCTACAACACAGAAAAACTTTGTTAAATGCATAGAACATATATTCATAATAAAAATATAAATAGTTGTCTGGTCATAAACTTTATTTTCTCTGTTGCTGATCAAAAGCTTACACTAACAGATAGTGTGTACTATGTCATTATTAGAAGCCTGTGAAATCTTTAAAATATTTTAATGCTGTTTCCACATTTTTGTAGAAAAAAAATTTATATATATAATTGGTGACAAACTGCACATATAAGCTTGACAAAACTTCCCATTTAATAGGTAGATTGTTATGTGAAGTATTGGCTAATATTTGTATAATGCATTCACCTGGCTTGAAAAAATGCTGACAGAACTCGGATGCATATTATCATCCATTCTTAAATTGATATTAAATTTATAATTTTGTTGCTAAAGCATTGGTAAACAACAATTTTAATTGCATTAATAAAATATGAATTATGAGAGTAGGATTGCAGTGACTAATACAGATTTTCCCTATGATAATAATGATTTAAAATAAGTAGCATCTCCTCAAGGAAGAGGAAATTAATGTACTAAAAATTGTAGTGCAAAGCCAACCTGCCCCCCACCTCCTCCTAGACAAGTCATCTACCTTGCATCAGTCAGAATAAAACAAGGAAAGCTGATCTGAGTAGAAAACTTACCCATCTTTCAGGCTTTCTTTGCAAGAAATCTTACAGTGCTTGGTAAAACTGCATGCTTTGTCTGTTACTCCTTGCCTAATTTCAAACTAAACATTTGTAATGGCATCACAATGTGGTCACGAACTTGAAAGCCTTTGGAAATGCATTAATTGTGAATGTTGGGGTTTTTAACACCTTTTTCTAACTGTTAAGATATAGAAAGTGTCAAATATGTTGGTAAGCTGTTGAAAAAGGTAAAAAGTGCCTAAGCTGTGGTTTGATCTCTCCTACTCCTGCAGCGCAGGGAACATTTCAGCACAATGCTATCTCAAGAATTCAAAACAAAGCAACAAAACTCTAACCATATGGCTTGTTAGGTAGGCACAGGAGCTCAGCACAGGGTTGGGTGAGGTGACCATAAAAATGAAAATATTTAAGAAAATCTAAAAATATTAAAATTGTATTTGCAATATTGCGTTGGTATTCCTAGACTGTTATAGAATAGATAGGTACATTTCTGTACCCATCAAACACTTAATAAAAGATAACTCCTCTAGGCAATTTGCAAACTATGGTTTCATCTAGATATATGTCAGTGTAAATCAGGAACCTTCAGTTCTCAGTTTTTCTAAACAAGTATGCCATAATCTTTCCTAGCCCTGTGTCCGTCAGACCCTCATAAATCTACCACATTGCTCTGTCTCCTCAGAATGCAGTCAAATTCACAAATATTTTAAAGGTATAGTGAAATACACATATAGTAAGTCCATCATCCTAGAAGGAGTTAGTAATTTCCTTCCCCTGCAGTATATATTTCATTTTAACACATCTTTAATAGACACCAACTAATCATGTTTAAAGGCTACCCCTTTATTATTGCCCTTTATCCATAAACTGCTCTTTTCACTGACCTTAATATATAAGGTGAAGATAGGCAATCGTTTGATATAAATGCTTACATATATGATTTTGATTTCAGTATACATAAGGTAGAACTAGTTGGGCTGGACACAATTTTTTTAATTTACAAGTGCCATTGCAGAATATATATTTTTTGTTTCAAGTCAACTAATACCCTCAGAAATAC